AAGAGAAAATGTAAATTTTCTCAATTTAACAATTTGATATCTTTTTATATTGTGAATAAAATGATTGCATCATGTTTTTATTTACAGAATCACAACATTTTTGGAGATTCTTAAGACACCATTCATACAGAATTTATTCAGTTTTCTGAGCGATAAGGAAATGTGAATTTAGAATAGGTGTGTGTGTGTGTGTGTGTGTGTGTGTGTGTGTGTGTGTGTGTGTGTGTGTGTGTGAGCTCACTGTTATCTGTGTTAATCTGACGGAAAAGATCCCTCGGCTTATAGCACTGAGCTGCTCAGCCTGCATTAATCTTCTTAATAGGGTCAAAACTATGATCCAAAAATATCATCTAATGCCTTCACACAGCCAGAGACCACCCCACCGACCTCATCCCAGGAGCATAACACAGGGTCCATCATGCAAGGTCAACCATACTGTACTTACTGGGCCTTAAAGGAAGAGAGTGCTTTAAGTTCTTTACACACAAAGAGAAGTTAACAGGAATTAGTGCACACTGTTGAGCAAACATCTGTGCTCAGCTGTAAATTTATTCTTGTGATCACAAATATTCTTCAGTAAAGCGCAGTTTGTGTCAAAGACTACAATGCATCATTTAGAGGAGATACATTTCAATTAGTTTACAGGAATTAAGTGGAATTGAAACAACTTTTAACAGACAAAGTGTAAATCTTGCATTTTGTTTTAATAGTTTTTACTACATATTATTTTATTCCGATGTTTAGTTTTAGACAAAGCTGGATTCACTGTTAAAACAGACCCAATTTGCTGGAAATGAGTTGGCGAGTACATCTGAGAGAGCCTCCATGACTTGTCACGCTGTGCATGTGTAAAGGTTACATGTTGCTTCAGTTTTTCTGAGTAAGTTGATATTGTTTTGTGGAAACACTGCATGTGTCTCACACATGTTCAGTGACTGTGGCTCATATAGCATACACTCATCTTTATTAAAACAGAAACATTTCACCAAATGAACGCAGCTCATGAAGTTAAATGTTGGACATAAATTTACATGTTTTTTCATCTGACCAGCAAAGGATTGGGTTGCAATTAAGCCAGATCGGCCTTGACATCTGTTCATGTTTACACACATGTGATAAAGTCACGAGGGATAGCTTACTTAAAGTTGCTGCTCATTGCAACATTACCATAGCTTGGATGTAGATCCCTGTGCTGTCTCTCTCTCTCTGTTGTGTGCTGGGCTTTCCAGTGAACATTAAAGGATCATATGTAACAAGGACTTATGGGTTTTTCTCAATATGATATCCTGAATATTAATAGCATGGTAAAAAATAGCTACCCATCATGCATTAACATTGGCCCATATGAAACCTTTGTTTTACGATGTCCTGTCATAGTCAGGGACACAAGATATTTTGTTTTCACTGTTCTGTATATTTGAAGTATTTATGTCCTATTTTTTCCACGAATGCTGGGATATATAATACAGAATGCTAGAGTGAAAAAATAGTTACATTAGTATTGAAGCAGTGAGCTTTGCAGAGCTGGCAGTGGAAGCTGGAAGGCTGTGTTGGTTGAGAACGGAGGCTTTGGTTTCTCTTGTCACTCTGTCATTACTCTTTCTACTCCTCTGATGTCGAACATGTGAGAGTTGCTAAAAATCAATTATTGATTGTGATAGTGTAAGTAACTCAGATATGGATACGACCTGTGTGTGTGTGTGTGTGTGTGTGTGTGCCGGTTTTCCTATCTTAGTGGGGGCCACAATCTGAAATTTTACTTAAAACTTACTTAAATTGGGTTATGGTTAGGTTTAGGGAAAGGGTTAGAGTTTGGCATGCAATTTGGATGGTTAGGGTAAGTGGATAGGGAAAGCGTTATATCAATGAGATGTCCCCACGAGGATAGCAACAACAGACGTGTGTGTGTGTCTGTGTGGCCCAAGTCAAGCATGGAGAAATCTGAGGATCTAATTGCAATGTTCCACTCCAGAAAGCTTTGAGTACCTCACTCAGATTCCTGACAGACATCTTATGATATGCATGGTTTGAGAAACAATCTAACTTATGCATGCACACACAAACACACACACACACACGCAAAATTAACAATCTTGAGAATGAGTTTGCTTTCCACTGCTGACTTCTGTGGCCTGTGAGCATGCTTGCTTTTGTGTGTGTGTGTGTGTGTGTGTGTGTGTGTGTGTGTGTGTGTGTGTGTACCCTTTGCCACAGCTCTAGTTTCTACTCTAGCATAAGGTTACCATAGGTAGTCCATGAGAGGCTGACCATTCTGATCCCAAGTGAAAAGTAGGTAAAGCGGCTGGACTTGTGGAGGACCCTTTTTCTCTTACTCTTGTTTTTATTCTTTGATGCCGATGGTATAAAAACCTCTTGCAAAGGAAGGTAAAGTGTTTGTTGCTTGCTTGATATGCTTTGTGTGAGTCTGTTTGGGAATATTGTTGCTATTGATTACTTTGTTCATTCCTCAACATTAAAGGATCCGGGAAGCAGATTTGACTTTAGAGTGGTTGCAACATATTTAACTGTATATCATATGTCTTCCTTTAGATTCTACCCTGGTTTAGGAATAAGCAGAATTTGTCTTTGTGAATCAGTCATTTAATAATTTAGTTTGCAATAATGAAAATGAACACTATGAGTACATTTAGTTTGTTGATAAATTGGTTTGGCAGGTCTATGTCAATGATTTCTGAGTATTAAGTTGACAGTCAGCCTGATTTTCAGATTCTGTTTCAAGATCATTAGAAAGTCCCAAATGAGGAAACTGACCTTGTTCCAGTCAGGAGGTCTCAGGAGGAAATGAGACTTCCATTGTATGATTTACCAGTTTGCGTTTTTCATATCGTATGATTCAGCACATGATTTTAACATTTTGCAATACGAAAGAATTATTTAGGCCTCGTTGTTTCATATTTTATTCTGTGAAAGACAGTAGTCACCATTATGGTTTTCTGTGTCCCATTTTTCTTGCCTGATTTTGATCGATCAGACTCCTTTTTTTGTCAGAGGTCCTCTCTCATCATCCTGACTATCCATCCACCCACCTATCAAGTCCCATTCTGTCTCATTGACACATTCCCTTTTTTGCAATGCTGTCCTCATCCCATCCACCCACATCCGTTTCCCCAATAATTTTCATATCATCCTCGTTATTCTCGCTCTCTCTCTGTCTCCCAGCAGGATTGGTATCACTGGCTCTGGTTTTAGGTGGTGACTCATCTCTGGAGTCTTTAATTAAACATCTGCAGGCTTTAGCACCCATTCACACAGTTACACACACACACCTATACAGTACAACCCCACACAGGCACACACACCGACAGGCACAAATACACCTTTCACACAACCTCACTATTTCATACTATGTGAATGCTGATGAAAACACACACAGGCAAATACAAATACAAAGAGCAAAGCTGGAACAGAGCTTATTTTTACAGCTAAGACTAAATATATGGCACAGTGCAGTTTAAATGTGAGCCTTGGCGTCTGGTAGAAACTAGGCTCATGCTATCACTGCACAGTTAATTATGCACTAATGTATGCAGAGTCCCAGTTACCTCGGACTGTCCTCCTTTCCTACAACCCTCAGGGTCATGACAGGTTGTGCAGCTCTTTTCTTTGAGCAGGAGCTATTTTTGTGATCATTTCAGTTTGTTTGTTAAAATAACTTCAGTGTCCAGTATATGCACTGGTTAATATGTATTGCTAACTAGTAGGGATGCACCGATACCGATACTGGTATCGGGTATCGGGTATCGGGGCCGATACTGTAAAATGTGTGTGTACTCATACTCGTAAAAGTTAACCGATACCAT